TTTCCAGTTTTTAAAAAAATTTAAGGAATAATTTTAAAGTACACAAAATCTCAATAAATTTTTACATTTGTATAGTCTCATGTAGTTACCAACTAGATTAAGGCACAGAACATTTTCAGTACCCTACAAGGTTCCCTCCCTGTCAGTATCCTTACCACCACCTCTGCCCTCATCCCTGGGTAACCACTTTCCTGACTTCTATTTCCGTTTGCTCATTTTGCTTGTTTTTGAACTTCATTACATACAATAGAACACTATGTACTCTTGTGTCTGACATCTTTCAGTAAGTCTATGTCTGTTAAATTCATCCAGGTAGTTGCGTATATCAGTACTTTGTTCTTTTTCATTGCCGTATAGTATTCTGGCATATGAGTATTAACACAGTTTATCTATTTCTACTATTCATGGCTATTTGGTGTTTTCAGTTTTTGACTACTGCTGATAAAGCTGTTTTGAACATTCTTGTACATGTACCTTAGTAAACATAAGCACCAATTTCTGTTAGGTATATGTCTACAAGTGGAATTGTTGTGTCATAGAATATATGTATGTTTAGCTTTGGTGGGTACTACCAAAACCTATATATTTGTCTAAATTTATTTTATACTCTAATAACCTGTAATCTATCAGAACACTCTCATTTCTGTTAATAGTATTTTAAAAAAACATTTGGGAAGGGTATCTTGTTGTGGAAATATTAATAAAATTTAGATTTTTATACCAATCTATAGGGTAGTACAATGTAGAAAACTCTTTTGTTTTCATTTATTACTTTATTAATACCAAGTTTCTACTTTGTACATAGACTAATACCAGTCTCTATAAGAGAGAATGATAAAGTATAACATATAGCCCTGCCGAGAGAAGCTTATACTTTGTTTAGTCAGAGGCACAAGAGAGTGAAAAATAAGCAACATAGGGCAGTATGTCAATGGTATATGATTTGTTTAAACAAATGTGCTTTGGAATGGCAAAGAGTAGTCACTGGACTGGAATGATTGGATTGGAAAAGGATCCATGGAAGAGGGAAGCTCAGATGAGCCTTGCTTGACTGGGTAGAATTGAATTGGAAGGAATGGTTCATCATGAGCAATGTTAAAGAAAGGTGAGAAAAGCTTGTTAAGTATCTAAATTGGCCTGGCTGAAAGGAAAAATTTGAGTTGGGGGTGATGGGAAGATGGTTGGAAAAGTAGGTATTATGGTCAGGCTTTAGAAAACTTTATGCCAGGTTAAGATGATTTTTTGACAGCCCAATGTGTAGTCCACTTTTCTTACCAATCTCATAGCTCTAATTTTTTTTCTAAACTGTCAAAGCATCAGAAAGTTACCAAGTATTCTGTCTTTCCTATTCTGTTTGCCCCTGAGAGCATGAACTTGGACGAGGGGCAAGGCAAAAGAGTTTTATTGGACTTTAGGGACAATATGATACCTTCAAGAAAGGTGTTAAAATTGAAGGAGAGATTTTACAAATAGCATTAATGGGGATTTTAAAGAATTAGTATAGATATTTTTGACTGGGGAAACTTACTTAATTCATTAGATACTTTAAAAAATAATTTGAGGTGGTATTCTTTTTTTTTTTTTTGAGACAGAGTCTCACTCTTTTGCCC